GGGCAATTCATCGCCCTGATGACGGAGGCAGTATGCCAGTGTGAAATTTTAGTTTGAATATTAAGAGTGAATTGACTCAGATGGGGCAAGCTGGGTATCATTTCACTTCTCTATCATGAAATTTTCATGTCATCATGTATCTTGTCACTCCAATATACAACAGTATGTACTGTTGAAAGCCTTTGTCTCTGTATGAGTAACTACATCAGCTGCCAATTATGTATTTGGTATTTTTGAGAGTAATGACAATGTTGGTCTGTTGTTTTGGCAGGGAGTTAAGTCTTCTCTAAATCTTACATTTATTTGGAAGATAGATGGAGGTATAAGTTTTTGTAGGAGATGATAATGATTCTTTCACATGTAACCCAATATTAGTAATAAGGCCAGTTTCTTTCTAGTTTGTTTGATATGGGAGGTTCATATTGTGGCTATTCGTCAGACATCACATGCTCTTTTCCTGCCAATGGGAAGTTTACCAAAGATCAAGTCATCATCTACAATGCTGTGTTGAATGCGAATAAGGCTGTCATGAATGCTGCAAAACCGGGTAATACGCATTTATTTTTAATCTGAATGTATTTAATGGTCTTAAATATTATACCTTTATCAGGTACATATAAACCAATTGGGAAGAAAACAAAGATAAATTGACAGTGGAACCACAGTTCCAGAGAATCTGATGTAAATACATCTCTGTTAAAGCTGACCATTGTTGTTGATGGCAGTAATGTAACACAACAGTGCCGAGTAAACAAATGATGTAACAATTAGTTTCTTAGATAACATAACCATTGTTGTCAGTCCATATTTACACATTGTTGATATGGATCTTACACATCTTCATTTTCGCTTTTTTGCTGAATGACCCTTCCATATTGACGTATTTACGTTAAAAATGCATTTTTTCTCACATTCAGTAATGATTTATGATGATTTCAGTTTAAATTGCATATTTATTATGGATTCCTGCTTAGGAATATAAAATCTCTGAACTTATAATCTTAGTTATGGCTACAGAAAATTAACATTGCTGTAGCTGTATATTACATCATACTGTACCTTACAGAAATTATGTGTTGGGGTACAGTAATGTTAGTGTCATTTACTTTTGAATAATGCTTTGTATAAAAAATTTGCAAGATTTAATCACTTCATGAAACTTGCATTGCTGTAGAATTTTCACTTACTTAGTTTCCTAATTAAATAAGGTTTATATATTCATCAGGGATTTCTATTAATATATTCTGGATGTTTTGTTTCAAGATGCAGTTTTAATGTGTAAAGCCTCGTGCAGGCAATAGGTAAGATACTCTGATCGCTATCATGAATTTCTCCTCATCACCAACACTTTACACGTTCTCAAAATTATCCATTGCAAAAATTTATTGTGTTGACGTGAGATCCTTCGTTGAATTATCTTTGATTGTAGGCCTTACAACCAGAGGAGTTCTTCAGTATGGCATTGAATTTATCCAGTCCTTTTGATAACATATTTAACAAGTATTCATATGTTTTAAAAAAAATGTAATTACTTTGTAGGTGTGTCATGGGTTGATATGCATAAATTGGCCAACAGAGTCTTGCTTACTGACCTTCGTGATGCTGGCTTGCTCCAAGGTGATGTTGGTGAAATGATGGAGGTCAGTGCTAGAAGATTTAAGTTAAAAGTAATGCAGTCTTACTTTTGTTGTCATGTGGCATTGCAGAGTGATCAGTTGGACAGTTCTTATTCTTTGTAATGCGCCAGTCTTGTAGCTGAGTGATTATACTTATTATACACACTGCTTTGCACAGGCTGGATTAGCTGCCATCTTCCAGCCCCATGGTTTGGGTCATTTTATGGGTTTGGATGTTCATGATGTGGGTGGATATCTGGAAGGAACACCGAGTCGTCCCACAGAGCCAGGACTGAACAAGCTGCGAACTGCAAGGGTATTGGAGAAAGGAATGGTTATCACCATTGAACCAGGATGCTATTTCTCTGATGTGGTAATGTACAAAAACAAAAAGAGACAGCATTGTAATCTCATAAGCCTACTTATTTTTACTTATGAAGCAATAACACAAAGATCAGAAGGGCTGTATCAGCTTGTTCAGAATTTTACAGAACGCAATATTCAGTACTGTACAAGATCCCTGTGGTTTCGTCACATACAGCTATGAATTTTTCAGCATTGAAAGGAAATTTGTAAATGGTAACATTTGTCATTGAGATTGTTACTTCTGCTTAGGCTTATGTGAAATTGTAATTGATAATGACAGGCTTTGAGTTTTAAAAATAATTTTCTTATATATGAAGAAAAGTTAAAGTTTGCATCTGCTCAGAGTTGTGACCTCTATTGTGGAGTTATTTACAAGTAGGAACTTTCCATTTTTATAAATTACTTTTACTTTTGTTTTGTTAAATGTGAATCATGTTAAGAAAATTCCTACCTTGAAGAAAACGTGGCTATTACTAAGGTCACTTTGTTCATTTTTAAGTAGGAAATATGATTACATCAGGGAACTAGTCAAATGTGAAGTGGCATTAGAGTTGTCTGTCTTAATTCAAATCAAAGTAGGTTGATAAGTTTCCACAGAACTCCCCATATAGCTGTTTTATACTTAGACATGCATGGAAAACTTCTAATAGACACTATGCACGGTGAAGATGTACTTAAAGTGGTTTGAAGTGTCAGGACATCTGTTCTCTGAAAGACTTGAATGCTTATGTTGTCATGGTGCCACATTTTTATAAATGTTTCATATTTTTTGTAAATTATATTGACAGTAATAATCATAATTTTTCCTGCAATGCAGTTGATTAATGATTGGTTCTTTGCTTGTTTTGTGTGTTCAGTTACTGGATAAAGCGTTGGCCAATCCTAAGCAAGCCAAGTTTTTGGTTCGTCAGGTGATTGAACGGTTCCGTAACTTTGGCGGGGTCCGTATCGAGGACGATGTGATCATAATGGAAGATGGTGTCGAAAACATGACCAAAGTTCCTCGCACGTAAGTCAGGTTTTGCAGTGTGATCATAAAATATGCAATAGTGTGCCAGAGACTTTAATTTAAGGATCTGAATGGCAAAAGGTTTGACAATTTGGTATGATGCAGCACTTTACAAAACCTGAGACAAAACATGATGCATGAATTAAAAGGCTGTTTATGCAAAATGTTATTGAATGAGGAGGAAGATTATTTTCCAGAGCAAGAAATCACATAGATACATTTTGATGTAAATTATGTAATTTTTGTTTAGAGGTACCAGCTTATGAAATATGAAACACTTGTATCATATGAAGTGGTTTGACCCCATGACTCATTCTTATTGAATCAGATAGTTGTATTTCCTCCACATCAGATACGTTTATAATGCCATGACAAGCCACTACATTTTGAAAAAGTAGCAATGGTGACATAGGATTGGAGAGACTTTATTGTATACATCCTACCCTTTACACCCATAAAATCTGTGTTAAACATTCATAAAATGTGTTATCATTGAAGAATAAATATTTGAATGTTGTTTATGTTTCATAGTTAAGAGTAAATTAATTTCAACATCCTTTTTTCCCCCCAGGATCGAAGAGATCGAAGCAGTGATGGAAAATAAGATTGACTTAGTACCAGCAGCTCCTAGTGGTAAAACAAGTGCCTGATGAACTGTACACAGAAGAATTATAAACAGAACTGATTTTATATGGTACAATGCAATGGTATCTGAAAGTATTATTAATTGGCGAACCTACAAATATAAAACATTACTTTTATGAGATGTATACACGTTTATTTTTTGGTGTGGATGAATTAAGATTGCTGAATGGGAAATTGTTACTGAGTGATTAACAAAGGCAATACCTTTATATTGACATATTCTGTTTTAGCTTGAAATTAGGGATGTAACTTTGTATCAAAATGCCTTGAGGAAAACAATAAAACAAATGAGTGGTGCAAACCATGGCATTCTGCTTTGAACATGTTAAATATCATAACTGGTATTATAATTTGGTGAGGGAAAAATGTTTAAAATGGTACAAATCTTTGCAGACTTGTGGCCAGAAATCACCACACTTACTTGCAATTCTGTGTAGTTGCATTTTATTGCATTCCCGAAACTGTTTGTGTTATTATCCTGTACCCTGTTTTATAAGACAGGTAAAGAAGCTTCTTGCCTTCAGAGGCTAAGGGAAATACAGCACTGATTCTTAACTGCTTTAATGTGTTAGCTACAAACTTGATGCAATGGTGGACTTAGCAGATGTTTTGATTGTTCTGATACTTGCTGTAGTTAGACGTAGACCACTTCCACTTAACGCTTTCCCACTTTGAGCCACCTAAATATAAGCATTCTGTCTTCAAGTGTGATAGTGTTCTTTGTTCTTTTTGTGCCAAAGGAAATGTAAAGTAAGGAGAATGCAGTACTTTTGTAGGAAATGTGACTGTTAAGTGTATATAGTACAATGTTTTGAATTTTGGCACGCTAAAGTGAGAGTTAATGTTTCTGTACAGCCATAAGGAACATGGACTTTACTAGATTTCTTTGTTGAAATGTTTTGTGGATTTTTCAAATATAGCAAAAGGGTTACCAATCCAATTGTCTTCTTTCTTGAATTAGTACTTCTAAAGCATTTAATAACTTGGAACTAATTTCAGTCTTTAAATTTTTTAGTTCATTTAACAGAAATTTTTACATATTAATTATAGTATCTAAAACCAGTTTTTGAATTTTACAAATGTATCCAAAAAATTGGTTTTTAAAAACTGACAAACCCTAGACTTTACTATACAGAATGTAACTTTAAGGTCTGGCACACATGGGAAAGTGAGTTTTGCATCCCCAAATAATGAGAGAAGTGCATCATTAACATGGGTATTTAAAAGCCATACATTTATTGCTTCCCCTCTGTGCTCTAGTAAAGTGCCATACAGGGTTATCTGTGTGCTCCTTAAATACTCTTAAGTATAAATTGTATTGATTTATTAAAACTACTTCCTAACCAGTATTCTAGTTATGGTAGACATTCTCTTGTACAAAATAATTTTGTGTTTTGCTGGTGATGGATTTTTACAGTTGAGGTAATTCTGTTAGTTGCCCCTAATCTTTAAATAGTAAAAGTTCTAGAAACTGAAGTCACTTAAAATATCTTCGGTTTATACATAATTATATTTTAGGGCCTCACCATTTGCTACACTGCTTCTGCTGATTCTAATGCTTGAAGAATGCTATATCAAGGTACATGGGATTATTCCTATTGCTGATATTACTATTGACTTAATTATGACCTCTTCCAAACTCATGTTTAATTTCTTGTGGAATTTCCACATTTTTTATTCCTCATAGGTTTATGAACATTGCTGCTTTTAAGGGCTAGCATAATCAGTCAGGTATGTCTTGCTTTTATTTGTATACACTTGTCCGTAAACTATATAACTACTAATCTTGATTTATTATAGCTTCTATGCTGAATATTGGGTTTTCATAATGTGAGGTGATTGATGTTTGAGGTACAACTTTTGTCAGTTCAGTCATAATTCATGGAGCAGTACTTGACAGCTAATAGTTATTTAGCTAGTCAATAAATTCCTTGTATTTTGTGTACCTCAAGGGTACATTACCTTGTTTGGGAAAACTCACATCTGTTTCATGGCTAGAGCCAGTTGCCTCTACTGCACATCTTAATATCCTGTTTCTTTAAGACCTGTTTTCATGTTTTCTTCACATTAATGCTCTGGACTTCCAAGTGGTTTCTTCACTTGAGGTTTCTTAAATGTTTTGTACCCATTTATCATCTCTTGTATGCCCTACCAATTGCTCCTTTATTTGATCATCCTAATAATGTTTGATGAAGTGTGAGCTCTGTATTATTAATTTTTTTTCCAGCCCAGTTATTCCTCTGATCTCTACAAAACAGCAGGTGAGAACTTCATCTTTTATGATTTTAGATATGAGATGAAAAGACATCTGAATGGTAAGAAGCATTTCCACACTTTTATCCTAACATTTTCAAAGGATTTACTAATTACTCTTTTTGCCTATTATGATTTTGCCTGACATTCAGGTGAATTTTCTCATAAATTATCACCAGCATAGAACATTATTTATATTTTTCAGCAATTTTTTTTATGCAGTATTGGAATTGGTGTAAGGAGAAATAAGTTAAATTGGAAGGAGATGGAAGACCTGAGATTAAATAAGCTACTTATATCAAACTGAAAAACTATTTAAACATTCGAAATTTCTGTAAGTTATAATCATGTATAAAAATTTGTTTTTAGTACATTCCAATTTATTTGTTGCAAGGCAGTCAACTACCGCTGTCTGGCGTGTAATATTGAAACAGTTGCAATCGATCAGCGTAGAAGCATGAGAGTGTACATACCATAGATCGACAAAGTAACATCGATTGCATCGTAATCGATAGAATTGTCGACAACAGTATGTGCTATATCGATCTGTGCAGATGTGTGCGTGCAAGTTTTCTTTTTTGTTTGTGACATTGGAGGTTGGGAAGCGTGTATTAATGTAAGACGGCTCTGTTATCCGCTGGTTATGTTTCGGCGGTCCTTGGTTGGTACTGGACTGTTGGGCTGTGCTGTTAGGCGTGTGCCAGTCTAGCAAGTCCAATTAGTAGCTGCTTGCCTTTCTTTGTTATCACATTCCCCTTTTTTCATCTCCCGCCCCCGTACGTTATCGACAAGAGTGCAGTGCTCTGTGTTACAACAAAAAATATATAGGACAATCGGAAAATGCGATTAATCTCCGGTTTAAGTTAACCCCGTGATTTAATAAATTAAGTGCGAAGAATTCTGCTGTCATACATTTTGCTACAGACACACATGATGCATGTCAGTTATCATTATACAATATAGCATGCAAAGTTACTTCGAGAGTGAACAAAGTGAATCGACTGTAATTGTGATGTTGAACAACAGAAAATAAACAAACCCAACCAATGAATTTATATTTGTAAGGTGTGCAAAACATTATTTTATATAGCCGGTGTTGTAACATTCATGTTTATCCATTTCAGTAACTTAAAGATACGATGAGCTGATCGATGATTACTGTTTCATTCAATTCAGTGGGATGAACAAGGATGAAATTATGCCCTCTGTGGTCAAACCTACTTTCAGATAGCATAAGTGTGATAAGAAATACTAGGGTATGCATTTCGCTGTGAACTGTAAACAGAACAGGAATTAACGATGAATATTTTTTAAATATTTGTGTACCAACGAGCCTATAAACAGTGTCTTAATATATCGAGTGATAATCTAGCCGTTAAAACAAAATTGGACATTCTTAATTGTGTTTACGTTACTGAATGGTTTGAAATTCACAAAGAAATCGTTTGTAACTGAATTCGTAATGCAGCTGCTACAAGTGAACGAAGTCTGAAATACTGCCCACAGCGTAGTTGCAAGATAAGATTATTTGTCCATCTCCTCTCTCCTCCGCATATCATGCAGTCGTGGTTTACTCTGGCGTATGATACGTTTCTTGGTCAGCGTGTGTGTGTGTGTCTAAGCGTGTGGGTTTACACGGGTGGTACGAACGGACTAGTGTATTCGTGTTCCTAGATACCCAGTTTGACGACTTAATCAGTGGACACTGAATTTGTCAAACGGATGAGATTTGAAATTACTTTTGCGATTTGAACGCAGGAAGGTTGTATTAAATTCTCTCAATTTTGTTTTGGAAAGACCGTGATTTGGCACTTGTTCAAGTGCTGTCTCGTGTTCATAATTTATTTCTCTTGTAACCACGGGTTTAAAACAGGCAGTCAAAGTGTCGTCGTGCACAGCATTAATGTTCTGCTTCTCAAGCCCGTTCGGTCGCCGAGACCGGAGCCAGTTTCAGGCACCGGCATCGACGACCGACACTACGGGAACTGGAGACCTTCCCACAGCGGTCGTCACGGTGGAAAGCGCAACAAACAACAATGATAACACCAAGGACGATGAATCATGTCCTCTCCAAGAAGATGTGGGGACGGATGTTCGGAAAGTACAGTCTTCCAGTCGGTGGAAGAAAGGTAAAAGGAATTCCTGGTGTGTGACAGGTGTTTGTCAGCCTATGTCTGATAGTACGAGGAACTGTGATGACGTAAGCACAAGTTCAAATAGTAGTACAAATAATTCTAGAATCAGCAGTTTGAACAGACACATTGGTAGTAGTGCACCGCCAACAGCCCTACCCATGAATTTAGTAGTGAATAAAACAGAACCAGATGTGGCTATTGGAACCAATCGCCCGTATCAAAACAATAGCAAGAACACGAATCACCACAGTCAATTATCTATAAGTGGTTCTACCTCCAGTTCATCCGAAAACACGTCAACAGTGGCCCCACCTTTATCATCATTATCAATTTCACCAGCTTCATCTATACGACAGAGTTCCGTGGAGTCATCATCCAGCACCAGTAGTAGTGGGAGCAGCTTTGCTCTATCGGACAGTGTGGTGCCCTCGCCAATATCTCCTACCGTAGTGACCACTATAGCACCAGTGCAGCAAACTACTTTACCGACTTCTCTACTGCAGACCACTTCTTTACCAATATATCTCGGCAGTGGAGGAACATTACCCGCCATGGGTTCAGGTCCCAGGTTCAAACCTTTGCATGAAGGGGATATACAAGTGTGTTACTTGAACCACACGCGCACTGTCGTCAGTAAAATCCTCAGTTCCAAGTTCCTGAGGCGATGGGAGTCGCACCATCTTTATCTCAACGATTCCTGCATCTCCTCGAAAACGGTGAGCAATACAGAACACTGTTATCTCTGTGCTATTTATATGTTAAGGCATGTTTGACATAAGAAAACGTTTCATACAATGAAACAGACGCTACCACTGCCAAAGGCAAGCTACACCAAACCAAATAGTATAGTTACTTAACCCGTTACAACCAAAGATTGTCTAAATAATATTTAATAATTTTGTCCGTAGCACAAGGAAAACAGATTAGCTGGTCTATCTTGTTTAAGGAAATAATCATTACAATAAATAAATAATCATTGTTTACATAAAGAATAATATGAAACCCGTAAATACAAACTGAAGAGTTGTAAGTAGTGTTCGCACTTGTGACCGACAAGAAAGAGTATTAACGTGAAGGTTGGCAAAAATAACGCAGCCACGACAAAGGTGGAAAAATCAAACAAACAAAAACAGGATGTCTCAAAAAGATTTATACTCAGTATAATACGGAATATTAACCTTGTTATTGATCTTCATATGTTGTGTTTACGAGGGGAACCTAATTTGGTGTACACTTAACAGATGGCACTGTAGTATCTTTTCACATGATTCAGATACGCAGAATGGCGGAGGGTCGATTGAGAGCATGTGTATCCATCTTTTCGGGACAGTCTGTGTGAAAAACGGGGTAAAAGCGTCGCACATGCAACGGGATAGAACACGGCTTAGGATACAATAATAAATAGAACAAGCTTGAAAGCAAAACAAACACGCTCTAGATAACACTATGGACACATGCAGTAAATAAACAAGACGTTAATATGTCATATTATTAATTAGGAAGGTGAACACTTCTTGTAATGAATCTATCCTCTCGTGTCCATGGGTTAGATAACTACTGGCCTCTATATATTTTCTCCGTGTTTCCTTAGTCATCCTCTTACTCCTCGTCTGAGTCCTTCAATTTCATATTTCGTGTAAGTAGTAATATTTTCAACGGTTTTGTGAGCATTAATTTACTCAGGAATTTCAGTATTTTTTTTCTGAATACGTGTTTAAAATTCTTATTTTAGTCTCTCTGCTGTATTTTACAAGTGGTTGACGAATACTTATATGATTTCAAATATGTCCTTCCAGACATTATCTTCAGAAGTGCATCCACATTATTCTATTTATATACACGAAAGTTTAATCAGGTGTTTTAACATTGTTAGTCAAATGACCTTTCCGACTCAGTTTCACAAGCATTTTCTTCAGTTTCTCACCATAGCTTAAAGAAACACTAAATTAAAATTATTATTCCTCAGGGTTACCGGCAATGGAGGCTGAGGACATGGTGCTCATGCTTAAAACCAAATTATATTTATTCTTCGTTCGGAAGCTTATTAAGTAGGCTAGTAATATGGGAAGCTTTCTGAATCCAGCTGATTATTTGTTCGTAGGGCTAGTATGCATTATAACGTAGGTCTGTACATAAATCAATCCATGGTACTAATTACTTCACTTGTTGAACTCATAAATCTACCGTGACAACAGTTCAAAAAATGTGTGAGCCGGATAAATAAGTGGCTTAACAGTTTCAGTTCAACAGATAGCAGTTTACAGGATAGCACTGGTAAATAAACTGAAATTAACAGCTTATACAATAGATCTACTGTAAGTCATAAACCCACCGAAACAATGGAAAGAGAGTAAATTTACAAAATAGATGAATTGTCCAGGGAAGTCAGTTCAAATGTAGGCAGATTGTGGAAAGAAGTTTCAGATTATGTTTGGATCCACTTTTGAGAAATTTAAAGGCGTTTATAATGGCGTGCAGTTTGATAGAATACGTGACTTCCCCATTATGTGTTCACTCAGTGTCCTTGGTATAAAACTATTTCAGTCAGCGCCAGGAAAAACGCCAACAACCACGGTCCTCCTCATTTCTACTTGTCCTGTGGTCCTTCGATCACAATTTTCTTTACATTTCTCGTTTTACGGGGCGAGCATTATTGGTGAACCTCGTCCTTGGATGCTTCTTTTCTGGGTTCTGGGTCGTGTAAAATAAGCCTATTAGATCACAGCAATTAGAAGAGTTTTATGTAGCAAATGGAACGTATTTACAAACAAAATATTAAAAAAAGCAGGCCATGATAGAAATATGCAATGTTCACGTCATCAAAATAACATTATAATTCTATTAATAGCGCTCAGTTATTTCTGTTCTAGACAGCTCATGACAGCAAACAGCATGGATACTAAAGTTGTTCCATCTGACAGATATGAACGCCGTACTAGAAGTGTTGTACATTTGCAACGAAGATACGCCTGGCCGAGTTCAGATCTCCATGCTTTTAGAATATAGGCCTGGACGATTTGGGCTGAAATATGCCTCTGTTTATGCCAAAACATACGTACAGTATATTACATTTTCGGGCTAGTTTCTGAAAACTGTAGGCCTACTCATTTAAATGTTTATATAATTAAGAACTCTCAAAATTCAGATTTTTGTTCTTCGTTTTTGCCTCCGATATACATGCAATTAAGAAGACATCTGTACCGAAACAACATGCTTTTTTTTTCTTGCCGTCTGCTGCCAAGTAACGTGACTATTAACATTTTTAAAACTATTATTTCACTCCTACCGTGTGTGAAACTCGGTGTCCGTGTAACAGAAGGATACATATCGAGGGCGCTGAGAGCAGAGGGCTGAGGTGAATGTTGGGACGTAAGAGAGAGGACGTAGCAGTTGGATAGGGTAAGGCGGAATATGTGAGGGAAAACAGAACTTTGGAGACTCAGCTGTAAACTGAAGGATAATATTAAAATTAATGTAAAAATTTGGTTTGAGGGTGTGGGATGGATTCAGTATATGATATATTAGCAAGCTATTGTAAACACGGTAAAAGGAGGGGGGGATTTGTTGATCAGTCGAGGATTATCGGCTTCTCATGAAAGACTCTACTTAACCGGAGCTAGTCAAAACGTTTCCCGTCTTTTATGGGACCCGAAGGTTCATACCGTGTTCACAACAGCCCACCATCGGTCCCTGTTCTGATCTACATGCATCAGTCTACTCTCCGAAAAAAAGTTTTTTCGCGTGTCTTGCTCAACACAGTCACAGGGTGACTATCATGTGGACCAAGTCTGTCGCAACTTAAAAGCACTGACGCCTTTTCAAACGGTTTCGCCGAATATACAACTTCAGCTTTCAGGGATAAGCCACGTCAAATGTAGAAAATTATCCAATGTTTTGTTAAACGTTGTAGTTAGCATGAATATGTAATGGTTGGGCATTTTGGATGCAACATTCGATGCGGCTTATCCCCGAACGCCGAAGTTGTACTTTGAAAGCTCTTCTGTTCGTTTCTGAAGGAGAATTAAAGATATCCAGGTTTTTATCGTCCTTCTAAAATATGTATTATTTTTAATGAAGTAGGTAAAAATAAAGTTGGCAAGGTATTTTGGAAGTTACAGCGGTCGAAATTGGTAGGAGTTTAAACCTTTCTTGGTCTTGGTCTTCCCACATCGTGCGTCACTAGGCTGCGTTTAATAAATCACCCAAATTCCTTGCGTTTTATTTCGGCCCGATAGTAACCTTAATTCGCCCCGCAATATTTTTTGCTAGGATTTTAAACGTTGGCGATAATAAACAGACCTTGACTTGTTATTCGCTTGCACGCAGAGGTGTAATTTGTTGCTTGACTCCATCCTGTGAAGGTTTTATCCTTTGCCATATATTAAATAACACTTGACATTTATTTATGAGAAGAGTTTAAAGACACAAAACCGCAAACCATGCCTGATAACTGCATTTGTATTGTATAAGCCACATGTGACAAATTAGTATTTACTGCTGAGAATGCAGTAAACATTTAACCAACATCCCGATTTAAAGGAAGACGAAGAAACGACACTTTGGCAATAGTATCCATACATCCGACCTACTCTTGAGTTCATTTCAGTGTACTTCGCCACGTTCTGTTCCCTAAAATTAATCGTAATCTAACATTAATCTACCTTTGATCCAAGTAGTGTGATTCGAAAAGATTTTTCCGGTAGAATGGTACACGCTTATGTGCATTTCCACTCAATAGTTTACGTACTTAACCCATACTAACCCACTTCCTTGAACACTTTGAAGCTGAAGCTAGTCTAAATATTAAGAACTCAGTCCGTACCGTAAAGAGAATACAACACTTCTCTATTACAAAAATCTTGCGGTTAATGTTCTTGAAGGAAATAATCATTGTTTACACGGAGAATCATACGAAACACATAAGTAAAAAATGGAGAATTACTGATTGTTAAAGTAGCTGGTACATTTATTTACCATTGAGGCTTTAAAGGGCTAATTTTAGCCTTTCAGTTTTGAGTTTAATATAATTGAAATGAAATTCATTAGTATGTAATGTTCTAAATTTTTCTCATTTAATTGTCTTTGATCCGGATAGACTTTCAATACACTTAGAGTTATGTTCGCGAAGATAACAGATTATTCCAACGGTACAAAACGACATTACAAGCTGTACATAATCTAGTTTTAATTATCTGCACTTAGGTCTAGATCCCTTTATTTAGTTGTTCTTTAGCTTTTAATTTCGGCTGTTCAGCTTCAGATTTCATTTAAGATAGTGAACTTTCGACGCGCCGATGGATATCTGCAGGAGCTTCTTCCAGTGCAACACATAGGAAAGCAAATATCTCCATCCCAAGTGGGTTTTAAAGAGTGGGCATCGGTCGTAATGTCATTTGTGTGGTTTCTGAAGGATTGGAGATAAGGCCCTTCGGAATCTCTCCAGATTCCTGTTTTTGTCAGACTGCTTGCTCTAAAATTCGATCAATCACGATAGTTTTGGTTATAATAGGGCATGTTGACGCGGGCCATTATATTTTACAAGGAAGATGAAACATAAGTAATGCTTTTTTGTATGGTCTTGGCAGTAGATTATGTGTCATTCAAAATAAAAGCCACTGGTATTGCTGTAACACACTTCTCTTAACTGGACAGGATGTTGGTGTACAAAGATTATTGTTTTTTTGAAAACGACTTTTCAGCTACATTGATTATATAG